GAGACTATGGCCCCTAGCTGTCCTTCAGGTCTGGCATTGAACTCACTCCTATGGCTTCCAGCCAAATAAAAGACAGGCTTGTGGGCTGAACATTTACATCATATAGATACACTCCTTGGAGATATCAATCATGGGAGAACATGGGGGCAGTATATGCACAGGAAGTCGACTCGGGGACCAGGAGTTCATGGGAAGGAAAAGACACAGGGAAGAGGTAACTATGAGGAGGAAGTGGAAAGAGAACTGTTACATTGTGGGAAATTACAGTCAATGTCATGAGACAAAATACATGAACTTCTGTATGGGAAATGAATATGCTCTACAGATTTTCACCCAAATCACAATCAAAATTAGAAAAAAAAAAAGGAAAAAGAAAAGAACCCAGTCACTACTCACCAAAGTAGGATTGTAGAACATTGTCTTTGTGGACTATGTTATGCCGATTGACCTTAGTGACCCATGAGATTATTGTCCTGAGCCTCCAAGCAACTCATTTCCTCAAGATGTTTGGTTATGACTACAATGTTTCATAACTTTGTCCCTGTATGCTCTACTACATTAATGTATATATTTGCAGTTTATATATATGTATATATAGGGAGCTCTGGTAGCATAGTGGCTAAGACACTTGCCTGCTAACCAGACTGCTGGCGGTTCAAACCCACCAGCCACTCCTCGGAAGGAAGATTGGGCAATCCTACTTCTGTGGTGATACTGCCTCGGAAACCCAAGGAGGGGTCGCTATGAGTCGGGTTTGACTTGAGGGCACATAACAACAACAACATATATGTGTGTGTGTGTGTGTGTGTGTATACACATAGGTAAACAGCCTCTGTCAAATCTATATCTATTTGTGTATAAATACATGTTTTAGTATGATTTTAATGTGTACTCATTTTTCAATGAGAGTAACTACACGTGACCGTCATGCGTCACTTAAAGACCACAGTATGTTCTGTGATTTGGACATTATATGATTTTGACATTATGTGACTTAGACACTGTGTGAAAACCATACTGTGGTCTGATCCTGCTTTTTGTTTAAGCATCTCCAATAAGCTTTGTGCCTTAGCAGTGGTCGACAACCTGCTGAGAGGGATTTACTTTTGTGCTTTGTCCTCAATCCACATCATTAGCAATTTCTTTGATATAACTCCCTCTTTAGTTTTCATTAAGAAGCTCTGGTGGTGTAGTACCTAAGGCATTTGACTGCTTACCAGAAACCCACCAGCCACTCTGTGGAAGGAAGACTGAGCCACCTACTTCTGTAAAAATTTACCACCTCAGAAACCCAAAGGGGTTCGCTATGAGTCTGAATTGACTCAATGGCAGTGAATTTAGTTTTTGGTGTTCTTCTGGTTACCTAGTGCCGTCCTGACAAGAAATATACCACAAATGTGATGGATTTAACAAACAGGAGTTTATTCTTACATTTGGAGGCTTTAAGTCCAAGTTCAAAGTGCCAGGCTCTAGGGGCTGGGTGAAAACCCCTCAACCTTGGGGTCCAGCTCTGCCTCCTGGAGCTAGAGGCATTCTTCACTTAGACAGCTGCTGGCTGCTGAGGATAAGAAGACCCAAGGTTGACAAGTAAAAAAGCACAGTCCCAATATCAACAAACCATACGGTAGGCCATTAACTTAAGTCCAGTGTAAGTCCCAAGGTTAGCAGAGCATAGCAGGCTGCTGAGCAACTACACGGCTACATGCAGGGTCCAACTGTGTCATAGGCCAGACACCATTCCCAAGGTTTCTCCTTAAATACAGGAAGCAGACCACATCCCAAAAGCAGCTACTCAGCTGCTTGTGGTAGATCCCACCACGGAGTTGATTGCCACCACGGAGTTGATTGCCAGTCTCATCATGTGGAATAACTACCAGCTGCCCAGCCAGTCAACCAGGCCCAGCCAAGTTGACATACAAACATAACTACCACAGCTGTGTTTTCAGTAGCCCTATAACTTTCAGTACAGCCAGTCCTTTAACAACTTGGAGAATTTTTTCTGTTTTTGAGGATTGCTGTGATTGTGGAGTGTGACATGACTAAATCACAAGCAATAACATTCACTGATTTTCCACTTTCATATTGTTTAATAACTTATTATTTCACTTCCAAATTGATCCTTCTCCTTTGCCTCTTGCTGCTGCTATCACTAGCACTGGTGTTGCTATAGTTGAGAGCATGATGCACTTCACAGTATTATTTTCAAAAGAAAAGTAAACAGATAACAACACTACAATACTCAAGAGACACATGATACATGAGATTGAATGCTGCTGTCTATGAGTCAAAGCATATAGTTATATGGTAAACTTTTTACATAGAAACATAGGCATTTATTATGACTGTCAAGACATGTATTATAGGTTGTATATGTACTGGACCATTATATTCCTGGCAGCACAATTGCTTTGTATACAAGAAACGTGAGATACATATATTGTATGTGGGAAGCTGTTGTGTTCACTACATCCTGTTCTCTGATCAGGATTTCTTAATTCTGTTATAACCTTATGGGATCATGGATTTATATGTGGTTAGACATTGCCTGAACAGATGTTACACAGAGCGTAACTGTATTTTGTTTCATTCAGAACTCAACCAAAAGTCAGGACTTTGGAAAGCTGCAAAAGCCACCTTACTACGATATGCATACCCACTGTCTGGCATTTCTTATATGGAATTGCTCTTGATCTTAGTTCTCTTAAATCCAAATTATCTACTATACATTGATGCAAGCATCTCATTACTTCATTATGTTTTCTAATGTATGCAAGTTTAATCATTTATTTATGAAAAAAATATATTATAAATTTGGTTCTATTCATTGCTCCTTTATATTACAATTCAGGGCATAGTATTGATTTTATCTTTAATTCTCTGTGGAGCTTATATATTCTATGAATTTCATTTCAGGTTAGCAAAAAGAACCAGTGGCTGTTGAGTCTGACTCATGGTGACCCCAAGTGTGCCAGAATAGAATTGTGCTCCATAAGGTTTTCAATGGCTGAATTTTTTGAAAGTAAATCATCAGGCCTTTCTTCTGAGGCACCCGTGAGTGCACTCAAACTTCCAGCCTTTGGGTTAGCAGCCAAGAACATTAACTGTTTGCATCAGCCATGGATGCCCCAGATAGTAAAGAAGGTGCTACTAACCAATGTTATACAAAAGGGGGTGTTGGATATGATGAGAACTTCTCTCTACCAATCAGACTCTCCCTGAATTCCTCCTTACTCCTCCCAGGGCCACTCCGGAGGAGGGGGCAACAGGTAGGCAGCCTTGAAGCCCACAGATTTGCCTCTGGAAAGTTCGCTGCATCCCCAGCTCCTCCTCTGCACCCTCACCAAGGTTGTGAGACATCAGACAACTGTGCTCTGGCCAAACAGACAGTCCTTTACCCCACCACCACCCAGGCAAAAGGCTGGACTGACCCATCTTTCACTGAAGCTCAGGCAGGTAGTAGCCACAGGAAAGGCTGTGGCAACAGCCTTGCCCTGAGTTCATGACTCACTTTCATAGGAGTTTAAGAGACCTGGGATCCAGACCATCTACTTCATGACGACCAGAGCAGTCCCATAAGCATCATGCAAAACAATATCATGTGCAAGTGTATCTATCAGCAAGTGCTGGGTCCTCTGGGAACACAGATATTAACGTATCTGGGCACCCTGGAGGTCCAGAGCCAGGAGAAAAGGGGCTACAGACATTGCAGCCTCAGTCACCAGGCCATGGGAATCATGCCACACAAGGGGTGCAGACATTTGGAGAGCTTCCTGAGGGAGGTGGAATTTGAGAGGGGGTTTGAGGGAAGAGAGGATCTCAAAAAGCAGATATTGCAGTGTTCACAGGGAGGTGCTGCAAAGAGGGTGACTGCCACAGCAAAGGGCAGGAGATGAGAGAACAGCCAGACACAAAAGGTCCCTTTCACCCCATATTTGCTGCAAAGCCAAGCGAAGAGTCCTACTTGGAGTCACCATCCACCCAGGACAGTCTCTGCAGTTGGTCAGAGGGGAGTGTTTGCTAAAACCTCTCAGGGTCCATCCTCAGAACTACCCACTGCCCTCCCAAGCCAGGTGGAGGTCAGGCCAGTCTTCCAAGCTCAGCTGCCCTTGGGGCTGGGCAGGTTCTAAGCTGGACCTACAGGTGGTATGGTCCCAGCCCTCTGTGAAGGGCAAGACACTAAAGCCAAATTTAGGGCACCTGGGGCCCCTAGATGTGGGACCCTTTATGTAACATCTAGAATGGGTAAGGCATTTGGCTGCTAACCACATAATTGGCAGTTCAAACCCACCAAATGCTCCACAGGAGGAAGATGAGGCAATCTACTTCCATAACAATTTACAGCCTTGGAAACCCAATGTGGGTCACTAGCAGTCAGAATTGACTCAATGACAATGAGTTTAGTTTGGAGAATGCTCAGACTTAGAGCCTCCTCTGCTCTTAGTTGGAGGTCACATCATCCTGATCTGACCTGAAGTGGGTGACATTCCATGTCAAGTGAGTCTGCGAAGGAATCCTGCTGGAGGTTTGGAGATCACAGGAATGTGACTGGAATCTGCAAGGGGTTTTGTCTGCGCTGGCTCAGGCAGGGACTGCCAAGTTTGGGCCTATACTTGGCTCTTCTCCTTATTTGGCTCACCAGGTGATAAGGTTGACACATAAAGCAGGCTGTGCATCCTACTCCGCCACAAGCTCCAGCAGGGACATAGGGACTACCCTGAGAGGATGGTAAGTGTCATCAGGTGGGGTATTGAGGCTGGCAGACTCACAAGTGCTTTAAGATCAGGAGAGCAAAATCAGCTCCCTGGAGGCAAGCTACCAGGGAGGAGTGGTAGGTGGGGAGCCATATTCTTTGAAGGTGCTACCTACTCACCCTGGGCCTGCATGGGGCTCCAGAGGCAGTTCCAGGGATGAGGAGAAGAAATGCCTCAGGGGTGTTTGTAGAGAGGCAGACTGCAGGGAGTGGGAGAGGATCCCTCTTACCTATAGTGTTGCAGGCCAGCAGGAAGGCGGGGACCCGGGGCAAAGCTGCAGCCACCAAGCAGGCCCAACGCGGCTCTTCCAATGTCTTTTCCATGTTTGAACAAGCCCAGATCCAGGAGTTCAAGGAAGTGAGTGCCCCAACCCTAAATCAGCCCTGCCCCAAAAACATTGCCTTCTCTATAGGTCAGTAGCCCTGGTACTGTCCAGAGTTTCCTCAAGCCTGCCCTAGCCCTTGTTCTTCATACCACCTAGTTTTCTCCTACCTCCTGCCTTATAAGGGGTAGCTGGTTGGTTCCCCTGGGAGCCTGAATTGCCCACCTCACAGGCCTTCAGCTGCATTGACCAGAACCGTGATGGTATCATTTGCAAGTCTGACCTGAGGGAAACCTACTCCCAGCTTGGTTCGTGAGCTCTTCTTCCACCCTGCCCCAGCTGTGCATGGCCCCTGCTCAGACACCAGCCCCATCCTTTCCCCTCCCAAGGGTGGCCTTCTGCCTTCCTCACCCACTGCTCCCAATCTCCTTACACCTCCCTCCCTCCACTCTTTTCACACCTCTCTTCCACTTCTCCACCTCCCCCTTCCTCCCCCATCTGAACTGAGGCTGGGAAAGAGGGGAGAGCAGCCCAGAGACCCGTGTCCATCCCTGTTCTTGCTCCCAGGGAAGGTGAATGTCCCAGATGAGGAGCTAGAAATCATGCTGCAGGAGGGGAAGGGCCCCATCAACTTCACTGTCTTCCTCACACTCTTCGGAGAGAAGCTCAATGGTAAACAGGGAGATCAAGGCCCTCCAGCCTGAACCTGTCCTGGACTTGTCTCCTGCCTGTGCCTGCTCTCCACCGATAGTGGTCAGAGAGGCCTAGAGAATGAGTCCACACTGCACATACATGCTTAACATCCCACTGTCAGCAAAATCCCAGCTCTGGAGTGGGCAAATGGGCCTTCGGGTCCACTTCTAAACTCCAACTCCCAATATTCTCCCCACCTCAGGACGACAGCCTATTTCAGTCTTTCTGGGCCCCAAGGGATATTTTGTATCAGTGGGATATGGAGTGCCCTATTTGTATCCTAGGGCTCATCCTAGGTGGGGCCAGTTGGTTGAGCAATGGGTTCTTGCCTGGTTTTCTCCATCCCAGGGACAGACCCCGAGGAAGCCATCCTGAGCGCCTTCCGCATGTTTGACCCCAGTGGCCAAGGGGTGGTGAACAAGGATGAGTAAGTGTTAACAGCTGGGCATGGGTTATTCTCCTGGGACTTCACCCCAGCCCACTGTGAGGGTAGCCACCTTAATTGTGGGGCCTTCTCATCTCCTTCAGGAGTGGGAACCCCCACTCAGTCCCCATGCAGCTGGCCCTTCTGCAGCCCTCTCAATTCCTCCAGGTTCAAGCAGCTTCTCCTGACCCAAGCAGATAAGTTTTCTCTGGCAGAGGTGAGATGTCTTGGCTTTTTCAACCCCCATTTCCTGACCTCTACTCTTGAGTCCCAGCCAGCAGGGCCTAGGAATAGCTCCATGAGCAGGAGAAGCCCAACCTCTGCCCTCAAGTGGCTCAGAGCCAACTGGAAAGAGTGTGACAGCACTCTGAGGGTGGAGTCAGAACAGGGAGGGGGTATACCAGGCAGAGAAGGCAGTGCATGCATGTGTACAGAGGCCCAAGTTCCTGAGCAGGTGAACCAGAGCATGCTGGAATGACCAGAGGGGTGCCCTGCACTTGCAGGAGAGGAGGGTGCAGATAGAGAAGGGGAGGCACCTCCATGTGCCCAGTCTTCCCAGAGCCCGGTATCATCAGATAGAAAGGGTATGGGTTAACGCTCCAATGGAGGGTGAGGCTGGAAATGGTCTTAGGTCTCCCTTTAGGTCTCTCCAGCCCTTAGCTCTTCCATGCCTCTCTGCTGGGCTGTGCTAGGAGCTAAGGCTGCCCCTCATCAGTACCTCCTCCAGGTTGAGCAGATGTTTGCCCTGGCACCCATGGACCTGGCAGGGAACATCGACTACAAATCCCTGTGTTACATTATCACCCATGGAGATGAGAAAGAAGAGTGAAGAGAGGAGGTGCTTCTGGGGTTGACTCGGGCCTGTGGAACCCTCAATAAACTGTGTTGCTGAATTAGACTTGCAGTGGTAGCTTGTATGTGACAGATGGGTGGGGCCAGCCAAGGGAACTAAGGGGCCTGGGCCCAGTTCAATGACTGTAATGATAACAACCACACCCACTATGAACGCATGCTGTGAGTCAGAGTCCTTTAGTGCTTCTCCATTCTTCCTCACAACAGCTGAGCAAAGGGTGGGCTCTTAGTATGCTCAGTTTTCAGATGAGTACACTGAGGCCCAGAGACATATTTCTCCCAGGCTGCATCTTTAGGGAGAGAAACAGGTGGGTTCACATTCATCTCCATTAAGCCTGGGGAAGAGCCACTAAATGGCAATTTGCCAGTTCCTAGAAGCTGTGCAGGGAGCTCTGGTAGTGTTGTGCCAAGGCATTTGACTGATAACCAGAAGGCTGGCGGTTCAAACCCACCAGCCACTCCTCGGAAAGAAGGTTGGGCAATCTACTTCTATAGTGATACTGCCTCGGAAACCCAAGGAGGGTTTGCTATGAGTTGGGTCTGACTTGACGACACATAACAGAAGTTGTGCAAAGGAGAGACCAGGCATTCACCAACTCTGCTCAATAGCTCAACTGGTGGACAGGGCCCAGGAGCCTGCTTACCCAGGACCCTTGACCACAGAGCCTCCTCTGCCCTATCTCAGAACACTGGGCTAAGGTGTGTGTCCCTGCACACCTGCATGGGGTTCACTAGATCCTGTATGCAAGACCCAGAGGAATCTACTTGAAAACACAGCCAACTTCACACTGGAAATAAAACTCTGTTGCTGAATTAGACTGCTGTGGTAGCTTAACTGTCACTGATGGGTAGGGGCCAGCCAAGGTAACCAAGGGGCATGAAAAAATGATGGGAAATAGAGGCTAAAGGAGGGATCAGATTACATGCAGATTTTCAAAGGCAGTTCTCAGTGCTTCAGCACCAGTAAGGCACCATGATGGTCAGATGGCTGGAAGAAATTATTAGTATCCCTAATGTCTCCATAGGAGCTCTTGAGCATAGTGCCTAAGGCACTTGACTGCTAACCAGAAGTCTGGCAGTTCAAACCCACCAGCCACTCCTCGGAAGGAAGGTTGGGCAATCTACTTCCGCAGTGATACCGCCTCTGAAACCAAAGGAGGGGTTGCTGTGAGTCGGGGCCGACTCTACGGCACATAACAACAGTGTCTCCACATACCTCACCTCATCTGCAGAAACCAGGGGCTAGAAGAATGGGTCCAGCAGGAGGAATGGGATGCACCTCCTACATCCTGGGAACTGCAAGGTCAGCAGGGGAGCCTCCAAAGGACGCACAAAAGAGCTCTATCCTTGGCCAGACCCAGAGGATGCAAAGCCAGCCTCTAACAGGAATAGCCAAGTGAGTACTCTCCACCTCACTTTTCCTCTCCTCCTTCCCAGCCCGCTACAATAACAGCAGCTAGGGAGGCCAAGAAGAGGCGAGCAGGCAGGAGGAATTGGCCACATTCCCTTCCTGAAGGCAAGCAAGATGAAAAATGTTCTAACCTGGAGAGGTGTGCAGAGTTTTGATTTTTATCTGGGACTGGACTATTTTAATTACTACATTGATGCTGAGATTTAAAGTGATCATAGCATGTTCTATTGCTTAAAGTGTTAAAAACTTAAATGTGCAAAGTAACACCAGAAATTAATATAACAGAATATATTTATTGTGAGGAAGGTAGTGCAATCTACTTCCATAGTGATACCACCTTAGAAACCCAAGGAGTGGTCGTGCTATCAGTCAGATTTGACTCGATGGCAGTGAGTTTTTTTTTTTAAGACATTGTGGTGGTTAAGTTTATGTTGCAACTTGGCTGGGCTTGGTTGAGTGGCTGGGCAGCTGAATGTAGTTATTGTCCATGGTGAGACTGAAAACTAACTCCATGCTGGAATCTATTAGAGCAGCTGAGTAGCTGCTTTGGGTATATGGTCTGCTTCCCATATATAATAAACAGCTTTGGGAATGGTCTCTAGCTTATGACACACTTGAACCCTGCATGTAGCCGAGTCACTGTTCAGCAGCCTGCCATGCTTTGTCGATCTTGGGATTTTTAATGGACTTGAATTAATGGCCTGCTGTGTGGTTTGGTAATATCGGGACTGTGCCTTATTACTTGTCAACCTTGGGCTTATCAGCCTCATCAGCCAGCAGCTGAGTGAAGAAAACCATCCAGCTTTAGTGGGCCAGGAGCAGGAGGCAGAGCTGAAGCCCAAGGTTGAGGGCCTTTCACCCAGCCCCTATAGCTTGGCACTTTGAACTCAGACTTGAAGCCTCCAAACTGTAAGAGAATAAACTTCTGTTTCTTCAAGCCATCCTATTTGTGGTATATTCTTGTCAGAGCGGCACTAGGTAACCAGAACAGATATAATTCAAATTGCATAAGGTCAAACAGAAAGTACACATAGATAATTTTCCAAAGGAGCCCAATTCCTAAGGCAAAACAATCTCTGGTAAGCTGCTAACAAGGCAAATTGTTTGACTTGAAGGTGACCTTAGGAAAACCAGTTCCTTAAAGGCTCAGGGTTCAAAAGGACACTTAAGGGCAAATGGCCTTCATGTGTGCTTGAACAATTTCTCTCAGAAAGATCAGTACAAGGCCAGTCCCCAGGAGGCGGAGGTTAAAGATGTCCCAAATGTCTAAACTACTGTATTACTCCATCATTTCAGACATTAACTCCTCCTCCTCCTAGTAATTTCCCCAGTCTTAGGGTTCTGTATTTCGCTGTAATGCCTCACAGAACTCACAGACACCCAAGGGTTCGTCTCATGTAGTAGTGGTAGAGGCTAGCAAGTCCCAGGTCAGTGAGTAGGTCTGGAGGAGCCTCCCAATTCTCAGGGTTTGATGAACCTCGATCAGCAGATCAGATGACGGCTGCTGTCCCAAATTCAGGGGTGAGATGAGGATGAGCCAAGACACAAAATGGAGCAAGAGGAGGATGAATCTTCCCAGGAGATTCATAGGTATACCCTCAAAGAAGCTAAGGGTGATGATTTGAATTATACCCTCCAGCAAGGCAGGACTCAAGATATATTCCACCTGTGTTGCCCCAACAGAAATAACATAAATCCCATCACAGAGTCCATTGCCAGTCATTATAGGGAATGACTACTACCAGCCGCCCAGCCAAGTTGATACCTGACCTTAACTACCACACTACCCTAAACACCACAGATAATGGGATTTACAAAACACCACAGAATGGAAGATAATGGATAGAAGGGTCACATCAAGCAATTCACTGCAGTGTGTTACCCCAATTCCTGGACCCCAGAAATCTGGATTCCAGGAAAATTAAACTGGTCTCTCATTTGTGACCACTGTATGAGAGCTTAAAATGTACTGAGTGTATGGACTATTCTTGAGTTGAACCACTTGTATGAGAGCTTAAAATCAGAGGCACTTATACTCCTGGATTGAAGCAGGTTTCAAGTGGATGTTCTTCCCCATTATGGTTTCATGCCACCCAGGCTTCCCTCCATCCCAGTAAGCATCATGTCTGTTGACTTGTTCACTTTACCTTGATGTCTCCCTCACTGGACTGTGACTTCATTTGAAAAGAACTTGTCTCTATCCTTTTAGTGTCTGAATCTGTAGGTACTTAGGAAATGCTCACTGAAATGAACTAAACTTTCCTTGGCCCAAACACATCTACTTTATTAGCTTCTAGGTTCATCGGAGAAGTAAATACAGTACCCTACTTACAATGTATTCGAGTTACAATGAACCACTATTATGACCGCCTTTTTTTGTGTCTATTATCATTAGTAATAGGTATGTATGTATCTATGCATTAAAATATATGTGTAAGTTTCTATGTAATGTTTCCAAACACTAAAGACAAATGAAGTTCAGATTTATAAAGACATTGATAGTAAAAAGACAATAATGAAAACTGAAAAAACAACTATTCAACCTACATTAGAACTGACTTATAAGGATGTCATTGGAATGGAACTGTTAACATACCAAACCAGGTCCTGCCTGGTGCTCAGTCAGGCTAAAACAGTTTACACACGAGATTGAGAGGAGAGATAATTATTTATTACAAAGCAGCAGTGCAAGGAGTTAGGGGTAGTTTAGTACCCAGATCTTAACTCCCAAAATGGAAACACAGTTTTTGTAGGTTTCAAGAGAGAAGAGAGCGGTTGTGCATATTCACAAAAGGTTGGGGAATTTGGGGCATGAACGTGAAATGGGTGCCCATTATGGATGAATCACTAGTTTCTTGTTATCAGCTGACAGGGGCTTGGGCAGAGGGGAGAGGGTCAGCAATCAACTTTTGTTCCCTTACTTCTGAGGGCCAGAGTTCATTTACAAGTTGTTTCTAAAATACTTCCCTTCTGCCCTAATGCACTTGTCCATGGGCCAGAGTTCATTTACAAATTAAGCCAGAGTTAATTTACAAGTTATTTCTAAAATACTTTTAGCAAGTCTATCATTGGCAGGAAGGAATGTTTTCCATTCAGTTCTTTAAGGAACTGAATGCTCAACTGCCTGGGGTGGGAAAATAGTTGGGGGTAATTTAGTTTGCTTATCTATCCCCATCCCAGTGCCAGAGTGGGGAAAATAGTTTTTATTTTACTTGGTTTCTGAACCACATCATAAATTGGGGATTACCATAATCAGCCTGAGTGCACTGACTCTTCAATCCTACCAAACATCCTAGGAGGGACTTACATTAGACTCCATTTAACTGATGCTGTCCAGTGCCCTGCAATGACCACGGCATACATACTGCTCCTGTCCACAGCTTTCTACCTGATCTGCCACAGACCGAGTTGCTGCAGCTGGTTGTATCTGCTCACCTATTAGTGGAGTATGTTCCCAAATCTATTTATATTTTTTATACTTGTTACTCTAATGGCATTGTGTAATTAAATATGCATAAATGCTAAAATACAAATACAAAAAGAGTTATTTCTAGGAACACTAAGTTAAATGTTTTAAGAAAGAGTCCTTAAAAAAAAAAAAATCAGAGGTACTTGGCAGATGTACATATCAT